GAACATACCTTTCAAAATATGTCTCATAAAAATAGGACTCTGCTTATCATAGCCTGGACTGTAATATTGTGGAAGGCCTTTCATGTGAATAGTCTAATAAACAAAATTCTTTGTATAAAAATAAGGACAAATTTCCATCTTTATGCATGGCAGATGACATATTAAATTCCTATTTAGGGGATTTTTTTTTGCCATGATGTGTGATATTTCAAAACCCTTCCAGCAAACTCCAAACTATAAAGCATACATTTTGAGGATAATACTATTATTAAACATAATTAATGCTACTGTCAAATTATTCACAGTGTATATGAATGTGTCAATCTGAAAATAATGTTTATTATGTTTAACAAAGTTTTTGTCAATAGCGTTATGCTCACAATCCATGCTTTTTAATTTGGAGTTTGATGGGAGGGTCTTCTAATATAACATGTCATGGTAATACCACAGATATGCAGGATGCCACTTAGTGCAAAACTGTTCATAAATCAGTCCACTTATCCAAGTGAACATAAACTTCAGGTGTTACTATAACTGAAGAAGTGATACTTTCAGAAGCGCACCAACGTGCCTACCGTCCCTGTCCTATTGTTTCTCTTATTCTTTTATTTTTCTTATATGTAACCATTTCATGTATTCACAACTATGTATACATTTATACTTATTATCTTGTAAACAATTGGCAAATCAAATAAATAAATAAATAAATAAATAAATATAGGGTAGGCCCAAAAAATAGCATAGACATCATGATATGATTGTGCAAATGTAAGTTATATCAGTTCCTCAGCTGATGCACATTCTATAATTCCCATCATTTGTTGTGACTTCTACCAGATGCTTATGTCATTCACCTGATAGCATGTAGAAGTGAGGATACGAGTGAGGAGGAAAATAATTAAAATTCAGTATGGAGCAGGACCTGTATCAGGAAGCTGGATCTCCTAAATAAGCAAAACTATTGCAGGGGATAAACTTTTCACTGGCAATAACTGGATTCACAGATTTAATTAAGCCCAACTTTCTTTTAGTCACAGATTACTTGGGCAAGACATAATGGCTTGATTGATACATATTACAATGGGACCAATCAAGCCCCACTACAGTTTAGCACAGTACATAAGCTCGGCTCTTTAGGCACCAGTCTATTTTTATTGCAGAAATGGAAGATTCAAAAATCCTTCATATTTTTCCCCTATTGCTAGAGTTACATCCAAGATTCTAGAAAGTATAATTTCTGGTTATCTTGAGAAATAAAATGGAAAAAGCCTTTAAAAAGATTTTACATAGATTTCTGAAGTGTAAAGGTGCTTCAGTAGATCTGTAGTAGCATATGATTCTACTAGTGCTCTTGTTAATAGTAATGCTAAAATTTGGAAAATACAGTGCAGTTCTAGATGCAAGGAGAAGAATTCAGGGATGTAAAACTATTTCAACTGAGTCTTCCATAAATCTTTTGTTTGGCTTGGTCTTGCTTTTCTTTGCTGGGATACAGTATTTTATTTTGTACTATAGATTTTCCATACATTAACTTTTTCTCATTAAACAAAGATTCCATTTCCCATTTTTTAAAGGAAAAAAAACTCACAATGCACCGAAGACCTTTTCTTTTATGAATTAGATAAGATTCTTGGAATGACATCTCTTTTTGCTAGATGCAAGATTGTTTTGTGCTAAACACTTTTACAGCTGGGATTCTTCTGACTTGCTACCTGGTGGTATTTTTTTTTGTGTGGTTTGAGTTAACTATTTATATACAGACCTCTAATAACATTTCTATTTTATCTTTTAACCAACATCAGATATTATTCTATATATGTAGATGTCTATTAGAATTCTAGCTTGTTCTCCGCACTTGTTCCTGCAGGTATATTTATTATAAATAAAAATCTCCAGAATTTAAGACAATGTGTTATTAATCTAGGCATAGATAATGTTAAAAAAGCTTCTAAAATGTAAATATTTAATTATTCATTATAACATTCTGTTCCAAATAGTTTTATCCAGCCACTCTTTTGCTTGACCCATCATTTTCAGTTACTGAATTAATTAAATTAATTAATGAAAACGAAGACGCAATTTGGTGTAGTGCAGAGGTGGTATTCAACAGGTTCTGACCAGTTCTGGAGAACCAGTAGCAGAAATTTTGAGTAGTTCGGAGAACCAGCAAATACCACCTCTGACTGGCCCCACCCCCATCTATTCTCTGCCTCCTGAGTCTCAGCTGATTGGCTGGGTCTTCTTTTGTTGCCCTGCACAGGAGAACGGAGCTGGAAAGCAGGTTAGTGGGTTGGGGAGGGAATGGGATTTTGCAGTAATCTTCACCTGCCACGCCCACTAAGCCACGCCCACAGAACCTGTAGTAAAAAAATTTGAATCCCACCACTGGTATAGTGGTTAAGACATTAGGTTAGTTAACTGGAGAACCAGTTTTAATCCATTTTAGACATGAAAACAGACTGAATAACTTTGGAGCAGTCACTCTCTCTCAGCTTAACCCAGCCTAACCTCACAGGGGTTAGGAGGAGTACTAGGTATGTTTGCTGCCTTGAGTTATTTATAAAAAGCATAAAGGTGAAATAAAAATAAATAAAATAAATAAACTGGCTGCATTCAAATAGTATAGATAAAGGTAAAGGTTCCCCTCGTACATATGTGCTAGTAGTTTCCGGCTCTAGGGGACGGTGCTCATCTCCGTTACAAAGCTGAAGAGCCAGCACTGTCTGAAAATGTCTCTGTGGTTATGTGGCCGGCATGACTAAATGCCAAAGGCGCATGGAATGCTGTTACCTTCCCACCAAAGGTGGTCCCTATTTTTCTACTTGCATTTTTTACATGCTTTCAAATTGCTATGTTGGCAAAAGCTGGGAGAAGTAAGGGGAGCTCACTCCATTACTTCATTGCGGCACTAGGGATTCGAACCGCTGAACTGCTGACCTTTCGATCACATAGTATACTAATCCCTAAATTCAACTGAATGAACCAACTGGCAGAACCATCTACATTTATCGGTGTCAAGCCTTGCCAAGTTGGCAAATTCAGGAAACAAGAAGCACTTGGATATTTACTGCCAGTAGGGTAATATAACAGAATCTTGAATGCCTACCAAAGAAATTCTCTTTATACTAGTGTAATTAAAGCAGTTGTCCCTCAGTCTCTTTCTCATGGTTCTCCCCTCTCCTGCACTTGGTATTCTCTTCTATGATGGGCCTGTTCCCTCCATTAACTGTCTTAATCTGGTTCCAAGGTCTATTAGAAATTCCATCACAGTAGACCAGGCACAGCACCGTAATAAACTAGCCAAGCATATGTTAGCCTAGCATAATGTTCTGAGCCCAGCACAGAAGAAACTTTTCTAGAATTAATATTTAAGATAGCCATCAAACCTTTATTTTTTTTATTTTGTGTATATTATAATAGAGCTAATCTACAGTATTACTGTAACATATTATAACTGCAGAGTTGCCTAGCAACCTGGGTTTCCTTTAGCATACAAAGCAGCAGTTTTTGTCTGTGGTTGGCATTTTCTTTAAGTGTACAAATCAGTTACATGAGTTGTAGATATCATGAAAAAAAAATAATTACATAGAATTATTCAAGTCAAATTATCTCCAGTGTGCTTGAGCTTGATGTAAATATTATGCAATTTATTAATTATCCATATTTCTATAGCTGGTTTTTCCCCCCATCTATTCTATTGTGCAGCTCTGTATTAGTTATAAACTAATAACACACACAAATACGCACAAACACACACATATACTGTAAACTTTCCTTATAAAATTATGCTTCACTTTTAACATACATCACTCGTTTAAAATGAGAGAAAAATGGTACTTAGAGCGAGAACCTATTTTCCCTGATCCTAGTTTTACTTTAACCTCCAAAGATTGGCTGGTTTACACTCTGGTATTTCCAGAGAAACAGTTGTTCTATTATCCAGCTCATCTCATTTCATTATTAAAATGAAGCTGGGATTAACTGTGCTCTCCTGACTATTTCCACATCTGTTAGGTTTGTTAGAATACATTGCTAAATAGAAAGGTTTACATCTTTAGAAGTCATAGAGAACCAACAGCTAATCAAGACTTAGTAATAAGTAGTTGTTCATAGAGAACTAGCCATTGATTAGAGCTTGGTTGAGAGTTAGTAATTGATGCCTACTTCTGCTCTCTAATATATATTGCAAAGCAACCATCTTTCTTATAAAAGGGATGGTTAGGAAAGCAACCCAAATGAAGTGTTTCTATAATGTAACTTGTAAGGAAGAAGATAGATAGATAGATAGATAGATAGATAGATAGATAGATAGATAAGAGAGAGAGAGAGAGAGGGAAAGAGAGAGAGAGAGAGAGATCACCTTCATCCTCTGAACTCGTATCCAGAGGTGTCCAGAAGCAGATCCATGACACCATTCAAAAAAAATTACAACTGATAAAGCAGATTTACAACCAGTCCTCAAATTATTTTTGGCTGTTACAAACATCCTCATGGTAACATGATCATGATGTAGGTGATTGGCACACATTTACTGTGATTGCAGCCTCCTGCAATCATGTGATTAACTTTTGGGAATTTCACAGCTGGATTTTGAAAAAAATCAATGGGAAAGTCAGCAGAAAGTCACAAGGTACAGTCACATGATATCATTCTTAATGACTCATGACTGCAGTCAGAACTAATATTAAAACTGCTGTGGATATGTATTTCACATTATGTCTGGGTTGCTTAGTGAGAGAGTTCCTGGTGCCTATTACAATTGGTAAGTTAGGACCATCTGCACTACAGATTACCCATGAAATAGTGGAACACTTTTACTTCTATGACAACATTCACAGCTAGGAAGTAGGAATTCTCTGTTTAATTAAAAGTTTGAGATTACAATGATAGATGCCTGCACTCATGTGCCTGCAGCTATAATGCAATGTGCGTGCAACCCCCCGTGCCATGCGCCTCTGTGCATGCACACGCAACCCCCTGTACCACACACCTCTGTGCATATGCATGTGACCCCCCACATCCCCACCCCCTGTGCATGCGCATGCGTTCTCCCAAGCGTGTCTCCCCAGCGTGCATCTTCCCCCACGCGTGCGTAGTAGATACCTGACAATCGGCTGGCAGGGGGGTACCCGTGCATGCGCAGTGGATCTGTTCTGGGTGAGCTCTCGTGTGCCGGCAGAAATGACTCTGTGTGCCACGCATGCCATAGGTTCGCCATCACAAGACTAGGCAGATCTGATTCTAAGGAAAATCAAGCATTGTCAGGACCTTGGAGAGGTCAATGGAGGAAACTATGTTAAATGAAATGTCAGTATAAGAGTTGTTGTTTCTGGTACATGTCTATTGTCTCTAAGCTCAATTGGAGACTTAAAAAAAACTACTAGTCAAGTGATTTCCCTTATTCTACATAGCTTATTTCTTATGAATTTGAGTATTAATGTAATGTAGTGCATTTATTAATAATTAATATGCTGCACCATTTAATAAATATATCTGTATCATTAATACAATGCACTGTATGAATATATATCTAGTGAGAGATTATAAGATTGTAATCTTTACAATAAATACATATTGGGCTGTGCAACCAGCTGTGATCAAACAAGAGAAAGTGATTAGGAGCATTAGTGCAACTAGGACATCTTCTTAAATCAAAGCATGCCTTTCCCTGAGGTTGTGTGGAGGTAGCTGTATAATCTCCAAAGCACACAGAAATTGTCAACAGGTATAATATGAGGTACAACATTCTGCTTCAATTTTTCAATCCAGATTGCTGCAGAGCTTTATAGCACTAACCAACCAATCAAAATAATAGTAAAAAACAGAATGGAAAATCTATTTTGTGTCATTCAAATCTAACATTAAAATACTCTTCAAAATACTATTTGGCTTCAGATGTAAAAGAGATACAATTTTGCACATGGTAAAGTATGGAAATGGTTCAAGTAATAATCTATCAAAACTAATTGAAAAACCTGTTCTAAACATTGTTAGGAAAGTATGCTAACACTTGATTACTTGGCATTGAATTACTAGAATTACTAGAAATTATAACTGTGGTTACTGGATTCTTGATGAAAGTATTATATTTATTTTGTGAAACAATATGATTTCATAGGTGACATGTCATCAGTCTTTGTTATTTTGATTGCTTTTTACATTTTTTTGTTTTAAATTATTTTGCCATGCTTAATATAACTAATTTGCTGACAGATGAAAATATGTTCAGCCAATATAAATTAAATAGTGAGAATATAGCACTTTTGAAAAACATTTGAACTATAAATATATAAATATAGTCATTTGCTATGGCAGCCATAGCCAAATATAAATCAGCATTCATCAAAATCTACCTCTTTTAACTTCTACATATTCTCAGGCCATCTTTCTTTATGAAATATGACATTCATGCAAATACTGGACTATTTTGTAGATTCAGATAAAGCTTCTAATATCTACATGGAACCCAGAGATCTTCTTTAAAATATTTTATTTGTTGCTTTGCTTTACAGATGTGTGTGACTGAAAGAATAGAGTCAATTGAAATATTACCTTATAACAGACAACTAAATCCAGATGTGGAGAAATCTGAAAAAAAATTTTTTTTGTTGTTTTAGTTTTATCATTCAGAATTTTACATGAAGTAACAGACTAATCTAAAGAAAAAGAAATAAAACAGATGGAAAACAAATTCCAAGAAAAGAAAAAAAGAAATTAAAATTTTGAAATTTAATAACTCCCAACCTTCTCATCACCCAATAGTTACAGTTATAATTTTATAATCTTCCCTCCCTCTTACATGTTATATCAATCCCTTCAATCATTCATTTAGTCCACTTCTTTTTTTAAACCCATAAATCATATCATTTTTTCTTCTTTCAGTAAAAAGTCCATAACAGTCTGCAGTTTTTCAGAAAAATGTTAAAGCATTTTGGTTTCCAGAATTTTTTTGTTAGAGAATCTTATAGAGTTAATTAGATTGAAGATCATCCTATTTTACACAGATGTCCCACTACAGGGCGAGCCAACTGACCCATCTGTGACAAAAAATAAAAGCTTATTTAAGTCTGAACTGCATTATAAATCACTACATGAAACTATCCTAGACCAAGTGAAGTACGAAATGCTAGAAAATTTCTAGAACCTGACATCCTGACAAATTAGTCATTGATAGACATGGACATAAACAATACATACTGTACAAAAGAGACAATCTACAAACCAAAAACAATAAAAACCCCAAAACAAAACACCACATCAGCAATCAACGGCCAGATGAGCATAGATCAATTCCAAGATTAACATCAGACCAACAACCAACACCCCCATCAAGGAACTGCCAAACAAGCTAACAATAAATAGCCCAACCCAAAAGCCTCCAAGACCATTTCCACCAACGCTGATAGGGCAAGACAGACAGTAGAATATAATCTGAGAGCAAACCCTACTTCTTGCTAGCACTGATGATGTTGTTTAGTTTGGGTAATGTCTGCAAGAAAACAACCAAGCTCAGATACTTATACCCATATGTTAGATTTATGTATATGTACATGTATGCATGCGTATGTATATAGGATCCCATACACACACACACACACAAAGTGTGTATATATGTGTATGTATATCTTCCCTTTATTATTTGTATAAATAATTCAAGGCAATGAAAACACTTAATACTTCTTACTCATCCTATTTTCCCCACAAAAACAGTGAGGGAGTTGGATCGAGAGTGATGTCCAAAGTTACCCGATTGGTTTTCATGACTAAGGTAGGACTAGAACTCACAGTATCCTGGTCTTCCTGGACTTACAGCGACTGGTGAAAGAGAAAGAGATCTTTCGCAGATTCAGCTGATGTGCCAGTTCCCATTCTATCAAGTGTAGAGGACATTGCTACAGTGATTCATACCTTCAACAGCAAATGCATTCAACGTAGGACTACAGGTACTTTCATAGATCATTAAGTAACTATAACTGGTATAGAATCCAGTGATCATATGTTGTTTTTAATGTGTATCATGTGTAGGACTTGCACTAGTTGCATGTAGGTTTCAGAATACAATTCAAAATGCTGATTTCAGCTTATAGCAATAGCACTTAGATTGATATACCACTTCAAAGTGCTTTGTAGGCAGTTTACAGAACATATTGCCCCCAACAATCTAGGTCCTCAACTGTTTGTGGCCTTGACACCTGGATACATTGAAAACTGCCTTCTCCACTTGGATTGGACCTGCTTGAAGTGGTCTCTTAGGAGAAAGCTACTTACAATGCTCCATTTTCAGAACCAGAGGGACTGAAATTGAATCCTGGGAATGTACCCTTTCCATTATGATTGGTAATCTGAAACAGGAACAGTCTTCTCTTGGAAGTAAAATTGACTTCCTTAGTACTAGCCTATGTATATTATTTAATGTCAAATTGTTCTGAAGACCTTTCAGGAGTTAATGGTGATATCATCAATGACACTTGTCATATGCCTAACTTCTTTCATGTAATGTTGTATATGGTGTTTTAACCTGGACATTTTAGTTGTTGTGTTTCCCAATGAGCATCAGGAGTTCAGGAGATATGGCGTTATATAAATTTAATAAATATATGCATAAACAATGTTTATTAAGCACATTTGTACTGGTAGTCCTCATCTTACAGCCATTCATTTAGTGACCATTTGAAGTTACAACTGCACTCAAAAAGGGGCCTTATGACCTTTCTCACACTTACGACTGTTGCAGTATCCCCATGGTCATGTGAACAAAATTCAGGCACTTGGCAACTGACTTGTACTTATGACGGTTGCAGTGTCCTGGGGTCATGGGATCGATCCCCTTTTGCGACCTTCTGACAAGCAAAGTCAATTGGAAAGCCAGATTCAGTGAATAATCCTGTTACTAACTTAAAAACTGCAGTGATTCATTTAACAACTGTGGCAAAAAGGTCATAAACAGGGGCAAAACTCACTTTTCACAACTGTCTTGCTTAGCAACAGAAATTTTGGGTTCAATTGTGGTTGTAAGGTCTACCTATATCTGCATTTTTTGTACAAGTTTATAGATGAACATTCCCAGCAATCTATCAGATCCAAAGTAAGGTTGAAAAGAAGGGCCTACAAACTGTCGAGGACGAAACGATTCTTAATTGTCTCCTGAATTTTCTTTTTCACTTTTTCTTCTTTATTTCTTTTTTCTCTTTCACATTTATGTATGTGTTGTTTGTCTGTTTTAATTGTAAAATTAATAAAGTGTATTTTTTAAAAAAAACGTAGCTCGTTTGACATTTTATATTGCCCCATGCTGCTAATTTTATTCCTTAAAATTCACAGCACAATGCTGTGTATATTTCATTTAATACTGTTTGACAACTGATATCTCTTATCTGCGTACAACTCAGCAGGAGAGGAAATGGTTACGCATACAGCACAGACCTACCAAAGATATCTGCCATTCGTTCTTTAAAGCATGTATGTTGCTTTGCTTCTGTAATTTCCTTTGGTAATCGTTAGTTAACAATAAAAACAAGAATTAGATGCATTTGATAATCTAAACTGTAGACTTTATGCTATATAGACTGAACTTTGAACATGAGCAGTAATGTTTTTGCATAAATAACAATTTCTTTGATATTAAAATAATTAGGTATTGATATTAAAATAATTAGTTATGAATGTTATTTATTACAAATTTCATAGATGAGCTAAATATTGCAAGTGTAATTATATAAGCTTTCTGAATTATCTGATGACAAAAAACTATTCCATGTAGAACAATTAGGGATTTGTTCTGTGTTGTTTATTACCATATGAGTCTCATATGCAAAAATGTTCATTCCTTAGGAAAGCATTAGAATTCTTGAGATTTTTTATATATGTATGTATCTATGTATCTATGTATGTATTTTAGAAGAAATTCAGATTAGCTTTCTTGACTGGCCAATAAAATATTTCAGTAAAATTCACAATTTTAAGGGTTCTGTTAATTTCCTGAAGAGAGGCAGGGATAAACATATTTTAACAAATATATTTAGCCTATGGCATCTACAGAGATGATGCAATCCTTAATATGCAAATTTAGTTTAGATAAAGTATCAGCATGTGTGTGTATATATACATACATACATACATGTGAGCCATGGTGACGCAGTGGTTAGAATGCAGTATTGCAGGCTAATTCTGTCGACTGCCAGCAATTTGATCCTCACTGGCTCAAGGTTGACTCAGCCTTCCGTCTTTCCTTAGTTGGTAAAATGAGGACCCAGATTATTGGGGGCAATATGCTGACTCTGTAAACCACTTAAGAGAGGGTTGTAAAGCATTGCGAAGTCATATATACGTCTATTGATATACACATATATATGAATGCAATACAATATAGAGGTAAAATATTAAGATAAAACCATAATAAAATCACTATAATATGGAACTATAGAATTTCAATTGCAAAAAGGACAGATATAATTCAATATCTAAGGAATCTCTAAAACTTTATGTATGAAGTACATGAAGGGGTATGAAGTATAGACTACCTTCACAATGGTTTACCCCAGGCAATGTTCTGTCTTAACAGAGTGGCTAAAAGTCTGTACACAGAACGACTGAATTGGAAATTGCATCCTTCATGGTCAAAAACCACAGGGGCACCAATTAGACTGCAACAATTCTTTTCTGAAGGAAAGGTATTGGCTGGATTAAGACATTATAGAAAGACATAATGTGATTTTTCTCGGTTTTTTTTCCATTGTGATTCTTACCCACCTTCTTCTTCTTCTTTTTCTTCAGTGTTTGTCTCGCGCTCTGGCGAGGTCCGCTAATGTCCTTGAGTACTGCTTTTCTGGCAATCCTCTGTTCCCCGCTTGCGATTTTTCACACGGATCGGGTAGTCTCCGTGTGCGTCAGACCTGGACGCGGCCGTCATAGCTTTCTCACACGGTGCAAGTGCGCCGTGCTTTCCGCGTGGACCATTTCGTTGATTTTTGACGCAGGCCAATGGTCTCCTGCGCCCGTCGGTTCCCCCGAACGCGGTAGCATTGGGCGTGTGTTCAGTAGTGGACGTTTCCACCATGTTGATGCGGCATTTGAGTACTCCAGCCGGCCTGTCGCGTGGGCCTGTCGTCGGAGGGTCTGCTCTCAGTTACGGTCAGAGTTTAACGGCTTCGCGCATCCAGGGGACACCACTTGGAGGTGGCAGACCGCTCGTCCCCCGATTCTTACCCACCATAAATGTACAATTATGATTTATAGGCTAGCATGGGTCAGGCAGATATTTCTATGTGTGGTATTTGAGTCCTACCAGTGAATCCTTGGTTCTGAATTTTATTTTCCTACCCTGAATCCCCTTACTAATTGCCTCCTAGCAGTTAAGATACACAAAATAGTTTCTAGTTATCATATTTTGTAGATATACACTGTTGATATTGGGCTTCTACATTCTGGGCTCTACTTTGAATCCTGGGTTTCAGATTTAAGTGCGTTTTAAAAGCTAAGCAGATCCTTGTCTCAGTTCCAGCCCAAGCAAGTGGCCCTATCTTTGGACTCTGCTTTATACCCAAATCTTCCCACTATAATTGAGCCCAATTTTTAAAAGTACGTTAAAG